GTGGGTCGGTTTGACCCTCATCCCATTGGCCTTGGCCCTTGGACCCACCCTGGCCAGGTCCCTCTGCAGAGCCTCCAACCCTCCAGCAGATCAGCACCCACCCAACTGGGTGTCATGTGCAAATTCAGTAAGGCTCATGCTGCTGGGTACCCTATGAAGATATTTAGGATCATAAAAATGTCTTAAAACACAAACCCTGCCTGCTGGTTTTTTTTTAAGGTATGAGAAAATGGGTGGGGCCACCACAGGTGACCACCTGGCTGTGCAGAGGGGACAGAGACCCTGTGTGCCCTGTGTCAGCACCTGTGCCTACCAACTGCCACCCATTTTGGGGCCAGAGGGGTTGGCTCGGGTAGTGCCACCAGTGTGTCTGTTTGTGGCACAGCAGAGACCCACCAGTCACCAGGGCCTTGTGGTGCCACCAGAGCTGTCAACCAAGTGACTGATGAAGGTTCTTGGCACATAAATTTGGACTCAGCTGCCTTCAGGCTGCTTCTTCAGGCTGCCCTCGGTCTACTCGATTCTCCTTTCATTACCCAATTCCTATTTTTGGAGAATTGTCTCCAGGAGCCTGATGTGTGGCTCCAGGGCTTTCATTCCAAGAAGAAATAAAACTGATTAAGCTTGTTCCTTTTTGGAAGGTGTGTGAGGAACCAAAACTCCTCCTCTTTAACATAAGCATCTGTCCCAGCCCTGGGCTTTTCTAGGGAGCATTTGGAAAGGTCCTGAAATAAGGAAAAGGGTGAGGAGATAGAAGGAAGAGAGCACAGGATGGGGAAGGTCGAGAGGTGGGACACAAAATCTTCTCCAAAGATCTCTCCTGAGGGATGTTATCTTGAATTATAAGGATTTCATAGGATCATACAATGATTTGGGTTGGAAGGGACCTTTCAAGGTCATCTAGTCCAACCACCCTGCCACAAGCAGGATCATCTTCAACTAGACCAGGTTGCTGAAAGCTCCATCCAACCTGGCCTGGAAGGAGAACAGGGTAAGCCCAAAGCAGAGGTATCACACGGGGGAAGATGGTAGAGTTTGGGGTGTGTGACCTCTCAGCAACAGGTCATCCCGGATCCTTCATCCTAGAAGGCAACAGGGTGATCTCCCAGAGATGGAGACAGAAGATCAGGCAGCTGCCTTCCCCTCTGGCAGAGGAGCACCCATGAGGCTTGTCCCAATGCTGGAGGACGGGGCAGTGAGGAAGGAGCAACCCACGGGTCTGGGTGCTCCCCACTGGCTGAGCTGGTGTCAGATGGATGTTGGGCAGGAGAAGGACTCCTCAGGGGGCTGGAGCAGGACGTGGAAAGAGCAGTACCTAAGTTCTCTGCGATCCTGTTCTTGCTCATCTCCATGGCCTCTTGTCGGAGCTGCAGCGCGTGCTGGGCGATCTCATCGCTCGCCACGTTGGAGGTCATGATGAAGATGGCATCCTTGCAGTCGATGGTCTTCCCCTTCCCATCCGTCAGCCTGCCCTGCAACGACACCGAGTCGAGACGAGTGGCATGAGCAGGTGCTGCAGGACACGGCCAAAACACAAGCCAAGATGACACGGGTCCCACTTCCCCACCCTGACTGGGTTTATTTTTGAAGGGATGCCCAAGGATACCAGCAGGGGCTGGAGAAGTCCTCACTTCTCCAAGGAATGCCCTGCACATGGTCAGGGCACACTTGATGGAAGCCCTGGGAGATACCTCAGAGGGAGGGCTGGGGCAGCCCGCAGATGTGACTCAAACACCTCTGATCCTCTGCCCACCTCCCTGCTGCACTTTTGGGTCTCACACACAAGTTCTGGTGAACCCTGCAAGTGCAGGTGAAGTTGGTATTCCCTTGTGCCTCTGTCCCATCATTCTAAGAGGCTGGTGCCCCTGAGGTAGGTTGGAAGAATGCTCAGAAGCAGCCCAGGCTCTTGGTCAGCCCTGCCTGTGGTTGTGGTTTAGGCTGGGATGCTGGGCTTGGTGCAGGGGTGGCTCAGATGTGAGATGCTCCCCTGTGAGGGCTCTTTCTGGGGGCAGAGCTTCAGGCATTGCTGCTTTGAGCAAGTTCCAGCCACACTGTCCAGATGTTCAACACCAGCAGCATGGTCCAGATATTCGCCACCAGGAACAGGGCCCAGATGTTCACCACCACCACCATTGCCCAGATATTCCCCATCATCACCATTACCCAGACATTTTCAACCAGCACCATTGCTTACATGTTCTCTACCAGCAACACTGCTGGGTGTTCACCAAAGCCTTCCAGATGAATGGGTTTAAAGCTCCCTGTGGCACCATGGCCACCTGGAAGGGCAGGGAGGGCTCAGAGGGGGCTTTGTGGTGGTCTGAAGGCACCACAGGGAAGCAAAGGCTGCTAGATGATGAGCTAAACCAAAAAATCCCTTCCAGAAATAACTAAGTTATGGCCATGATAGAGTGAATTAAGCGATGGAGAATATCCATCACACCCACGGGATCACCCAACAAACCAAACCAGGACAGCCCAGCACCGTGCTTCACGGTGGGTATGACCACTGCTGCTGTGGCATCAACCCTCCTCCTCCCAAACCGAGGCAGGAACCCTTCAAAAAGTCCTAGTTTGACAAATAAAACCAAAAAGAGAGGAAACTAAGGAAGAAACCCAAGCAGCTCCCCAGGCGGTTTCTCCCCTCAATCCATCTCTAGCAGCAGGTACCCAGCACAACGACACAAATCCTTGTTGGGTGCTTGAGATTAACATTTGGGTTATTGTCCTGTCAAGTGCGTGGTACAGGAATTGATTTCACATTTACCTGCTGCTCTGATGATCTATGCAAGAAAAAAATCCTGTTATTAATCCTTAAAAGAAAAACAAACCCTGAAAAACCCTCCCAAAACCTTCAGGCATGTTGCTCTGGAGTTTGGTTGCCTTTGAGGACAGACCAGGACCTTAAAAAGAAACCCAAAAGCTTGTGTGGAACAGCTCAATGGGCACGGAGCTGTCTCCAACATGGACAAAAGTCCTTGGGAGGAGTCTGGGGCTTCCATCTAGGACTTAGGTGTCTCCAGAGGAGGCCAACACGTTCCTGGACATGTATGGAGATGCTGGAGAGCTCCTGGGGATGGACAACCCCGCAGCACACATAATTCTTTTGGGACGCCCAGACTCCTCCAAGGACTCCTCCAACCACCTGAGGGGTTTTGTGAATGTTAAAGCATGTCCATGCTGAGCTCTTCAGAACTGCTTCCAGGAATCTTCAAGAGTGTTTTGACCTCTTCAGGAGACAGGTCAAGCCCTTGGTAGCTGCAGCAGACTCCTCTTAGGTCATTAGTTAAAGAGATTTCTTAATGCTGGAGGCAAGTCCATGCTTGGTAGCTCTCCAGGACTCCTCCCAGGCCTCTCTAAGAGTGCTCAGGCTTCCTCTGGAGACAGCTGAAGTCTTGGGAAGCAGCCCCAGGCTTCTTCAAGGTCACCAACTGAAGAGTTTTGTGCATGGCAGGGGGGTTGGAACTAGATGAAGGCCCCTTCCAACTCAACCCATTCTATAACTCTAAACATGGGGGAGAAAAGTGTGAGAGAACCCCATGCCACCTGAAAAGTCATACATTGACCAATCTGAGCTAAAACCCATCAGTTAACAACTGATCAGGACACCGATCATTTCACATCTCACATTTCAGCTCCTCTCCAAGACACCTCCTGAAGCCATCACCCCTTGCACCACTCTGTCACCTTCCAAACAGCCCCTTGTGCAAACTCTGCCCCAAAACGTGGATTTACCTCATCAAACAGCTGCAGCATGATGGTGAGGACATCTGGGTGGGCTTTGTCCACCTCGTCGAAGAGCACCACGGCATTCGGACACTGCCTGAGCTTTTTGGTGAGCTGCCCACCCTCTTCGTGGCCCACGTAGCCCGGTGGAGAGCCGATAAACTTGGCAACCTAGCAGGAAGCAACAGGACATGTGAAAGCTGGTCCAGGGACGCCAGGAATGAAGGCCTCTTGGTAGCTCAGCACGCAACTATGACTCTGGGCCGCAGACAAATCAAGCTCTGTAATGTTTGAGACATCTTTTGGACATGGGGTATCCCAAAATCAGCTTAATCAGCAAAAACCTAGTAAAATGAAGCTTAGTGGCTGTTGAGTGATGACCTGGCCGAGGTGTAACCAGCAGAATCTGCAGGAGCAGCCATGGGCAGGAGAACAGGCACCACCTTGCTCCTCTAAACAACATCTGAGTGACCCGCCCCAGCTGTCCCTGCCCCTCTGCCCCGCTCTGGGGAGACCCCCCTGCAGTGCTGGGGCAGCTCTGGAGTCCTCAGCACAGCAGAGACAGGGACCTGCTGGAGCGGGGCCAGAGGAGCCCCAGCAATGCCCCGAGGGGGGAACCCCTCTGCTGGGAGCCCAGCAGGAGAGAGTTGGGCTTGGGCAGCCTGCAGAGGAGAAGGCTCCAGCTGGGGAGACCTTCTGGGGGCCTGACAGGACTTCCAGGGGCCTCTCAGAAAGATGGGGAGGGAACTTTTGAGCAGGGCCTGTTGGGACAGTCAAGGGGGGATGGTTTGGAACTAAAAGAAGGAGATTGAGACTAGAGAGAAGGAAGAAATTTTGTACACTGAGGGTGGTGAGGCCCTGTCCCAATTTTCCCAGAGAGGTGGTCGCTGCTCCATCCCTGGAACCATTTCAGGTGAGGTTGGCCAGGGCTCTGAGCAACCTCATCTATAGGATCACAGAATCATAGAATTCTAGGTTGGAAGGGCCCTCAAGGACCATCTGGTCCAACATTTCTTGGCCAAAGCCCTGTCTAGACAAGCTGTCCCAGCACCATGTCCAGCTGAATCTTCGTGCCCAGTGTTGAGGACTCCACCACTTCCCTGTGAAGATTCTTCAACAGTTGATTGCAAAAAAGGGTCTTCCTGTGTCCTCTAGCTGAAGACGGTTGGACTCCATGATCTGAAAGGTCTCTTCCAATGAGAACTCCTCTCTGATAGGACCATACAGAGGTGAGGGGGGCTCCTGACAGCAGCTAATTCGTTGCATTCATTTTGCAGCGCCTCGGGCTCCGTGAAGCTTCAAAGGACCCGTCTCCTGGGCTGACCTCTTGATCCTTGTTTGCTTGAAAAATCTGTGTGGCTCTCGCTGCCATCCCTGACTTTATCCCCCCTGCTCTGCCTCTCGTCTCTGTCGGGGCTGCCCGGCTCCTGTCTGACACCCCTGCTGCTAGTCCCAACTCTCCTTTGGACCAAACTATCAACGTGGCTTTATCTTTATCCATTTCCCTCTACGATGCAGGACCCCACCACAACCCATCAACCAGGCCAGCAGCTAGCAGGTCTTCTATCTGCTCTTCTCACCCACCTGCTTCACTGCTTTGGCTGAAATAACATTTTCTGGACCTTTCCTGTCCCTGCAGCTCCTGACGATGGTGCTGAGGCCGCCAGCACCTCCAAGGCAGGCCCATCAGCCCTTCTCACAGCTCCAGTCACAGCATGAGGGGCTGTCCGGCTGGTGCCCTCGGCAGCATGGAGGGACAGAGGGGACCCTCAGTCAGTTTGCTGATGTACCAAACTGGGAGCAGTGGCTGACACACCAGAGCTGTGCTGCCGTTCAATGAGACCTGGACAGGCTGGAGAGCTGGGCTGAGAGGAACCTCATGGTGTTCAACCAGGGCAAGTGCAGGGTCCTGCCCTGGGGAGGAATAACCCCCTGGACCAGGACAGGGGAGGGGTGACCTGCTGGGGAGCAGCTCCACAGAGTGGACCTGTGAGTGCTGGGGCTGGGGCCAGACTCTTGTCAGTGGTGCCCAGCGACAGGACAAGGGGCAACGGGCACCAACTGGAACCCAGGAGGTTCCACCTGAGCAGGAGGAGAAACTTCTTTGGTGTGAGGGTGGCCGAGCCTGGAGCAGGCTGCCCAGAGAGGCTGTGGAGTCTCCTGCTCTGGAGAGATTCCAAACGTGGCTGGATGTGACACTGGGCACCGTGCTGTGGGTGACCTGCTGGAGTAGGGGGGTTGGAGGGGATGATGATCTTCAGAGGTCCCTTCCCATGCCCACCATGTAGGGATTCTGTGAAGAAATGCAAAATAATCCCCCGTACTCCTATCTTGGACCGGTCCTTCTGAAGTTCTCCCCAGACCCTTCCTCCTCCTCTTCTTCAAGATAGCATCATTCCAGGTTCCAGCCAGTTCTCCTCCTCCTTCTTCTTCCCTGGCTCCATAAACTAATGCACCAGCTTCAGTGTGTATGGGGCTGATCCTGAGATCCCTCATGGGATATTTCTCAGCCCATGTTTTCTGGATTTGGGTTCACCCCACCATCGGCATCAGTAAGAACCACAAGGCCATCAAAAGAATCACAACCCCACTTTCTGTACAAGAAAAACATTATGAAGCCACCTCAGCTAGGACCTTGCTATTTGTTTTTGGAAGACAGAGCCCTCTGAAGGGATTTAGTGCCACCCCCCAACTCCAGGGGTGACCCTAATGAGACATCCCACATCTCAGGAGATGCTCATCAAGTTCAGTAGCAGCAGGGAGATGCTCAGCACCACCCAGGCCAGGAACCAAACACACGAGAATGATGGCATTGGCAGGATTTGTGTAAACTGCCTGCTAATCTTGACGCTTCTGCCCTTGGGAGCCCATTTACTAACCTCGTGTCTCTCCTGGAACTCTGACATGTCCAGTCTGATGAAACCCTGCAAGAGAAAAAAACACTTATTGTGATTTTTGATGAACATGCTCCAAGTTTCATCACATTTAGAAGACCCCTCCTGAAACAGGCAGGTGGCTGCACAGATGACCTGAAGGTTTTGTGGTTCCTGAGGACAAACAGCTCCAGAGTGGCCAGATCCACCACAAAATACTTTGAGGAATCATCAAACCGTTCTGGTTGGAAGAGACCTTCCAGGGCATGGAGTCCAGTTGTTTCCCCAACTCTGGCAGGTCCCACTGACCCAGGTCACTCAGCACCACATCTCCACGGCTTGGAAACCACTCCCGGGATGGGGAATCCTACACTGCCCGGGGCAGCCTGGCACAGCCCTGCACAACCCTCAAGGGCAACAAATTCTTCCTCAGGGACAACCTCAACCTCCCCTGGGGCAGTTTGAGGCCAGCTCCTCTTGTCCTGTCCCTTGTTCCTTGGGAGAAGAGCCTGACCCCCACCTGGCTCCAGCCTCCTGTCAGGGAGTTGTAGAGAGCCAGAAGGTCTCCCCTCAGCCTCCTTTGCTCCAGGCTCAGCACCCCCAGCTCCCTCAGCTGCTCCTCACCACCCTTGGGCTCTAGACCCTTCCCCAGCAGCTCCGTTGCCCTTCTCTGGCCATGCTCCAGCCCATCAAGGTCCTTCTGGGAGGGAGGGCCCCACATACAGGGGTAACAGGTTCATCCAAATGAACCCATCTGCATTCTCAGCAGATCTGAACTGTAAGACAACAGCACCAGTTTCGTGCTCAGCTTCAGAAGCTCTCTGGGGGCCTGAGTTTCCCTCAGTCCTGTTCTGTCTTGGTTCAGCCACGTGTCAGGTTTTTAGCAGGGAGGGACTGGAATTATTTCATGGCGGGGATGGCTCATCAGGGGGACAAGTCAGGGCTGTTTGAAGCATTTCAAGCTGGGCTTTAAATCCCCACGTAAGCCTCTGCCTGCCTTTGGGACTCGGGCCCACGGCGGATGGGGAAGGTGCTGTGCTTGGTGCCTGTGAAAAGGAGGAAACACAGGCAGAGCTGCCCCAGATTAATTCCTCTCCCCAACATCCTCCAGCAGAGAAAGGACACAAGACACAATGACACATGGAGAAAGAAGATCAAAAGCAGACCAAGGCTATAAAAAAAGGCACTTCTGGTTTCCTTTTCCTCATCCTCCTGTAACTGCCTTCTGGGAGTGATAAATCCTGGCTCCTGCAACTTGAGCACCTTCACCCCCAGCTCCTGCAGCTGGAACCGGTCAAACATCACATGGAGAAACCAGCTAAATGCTGAGTGTTGGGTTAATTTGACAGCAGGCAGAAATCAGAGTTTGACTGGGGATGAACTGGTCTGAGGGGGGAGTCCAAACCCCCCCAGGTGGTGATGGGGGTGCAGCGATCCACAGGAACTGATGGACCAGAAAAGGAAAACCCAGAACTGTTCCATTTTCATCCTGCTGGAGAGGCTACAAGGTGATGAAAGATGCTGAGCTCCTCAGGCAGCCTGTGTAGGACGGACAGAAGAAGGACTGGGAGCAGGAGCAGGATTGGAGCAAAGCATCTCTGGCACCGCCTGGCACTGCACATCTCACTCCATCCTGGGCAGTTTGTTGGCATTTTAATATTTTGCAGGGAAATGTGGCTGGTTTGGAGTGAAACCTGTCCTAACCTGGCCTGAAATCTTGCTACCACCCCCTCAAAGTACCAGCATTGCATGGGAGATGGGACAGGCAGCTCCTCCTGCTCTCCTCTGTCCCTTGGGAGCTTGTGGCAGCATCGTCTTGGTTTGGTGCCCCAAGAATTGCTCCAGGATCTCAGTGAGCTGCAAAACGTCCCACCTATGGGATCTGAAGCTGAATATTCCCAATCAGAAGGGCACTGAGGGGCCTGAATGTGTCCAGAGAAGGGCAACAAAGCTGCTGGGGAAGGGTCTAGAGCCCAAGTGTGGGGAGGAGCAGCTGAGGAACGACTGGACTCGGTGGTCTTAAAGGCCTCTTCCCACAAGACTGATTCTGTGATTTGTTCAGCAGAAGTCCTTTCCTGGTGCATGTGGCCAGACCTTCCATCCCTCCTTGGCTGAACCACTGGTGAGCTGAACATCCAGCCCAGCAAAGCCAGACAAGAACCCAGCCCAGCCTGTTGCCAAAACCACCTGGGGGGTGAGAAGCAAAGTCCTGTGGCCTCTGGTACCTTTTTGACGTCCTTGTGGATGTACTTGGCTGTCTGCTTGGCCAGCTCCGTTTTACCTGGGGAGGAAAGACTCAGGGTCACCAGTTCTGCCCACCCGCCGTCCGTCCGTCCACGTGCCCGGCCAGCGGCGGGCTGATAGCCCACAGACCCGTTTCTCCTGGTGGGAAGGGGATCCCGGGACAAGGCCCTGCCGAGGCTCTGGAGACCAGGCACCGGCACCACTGTGCTGCCTGATCCCTTTGAACTGCTGGTTCTTAGATGCTGGGCAGAGATTTTCAGTTTTGCCCCCAAAAATGCGTGGTTAGATCAGGATTGTGCTCTCAGTGGTCTCGGCTTCACACGGAATGGTTTTTACTCTCTGAAGAATTCCAGGGAAATGTGATATTCTGTCTGTCTGTCATTTACAGAAGGAGACTGTCCTGAAATTCCAGGGTTAGAAACACTCCGGAACGGAGCCAACCCACCCTGGCAGGGGTGAGCTCACAGGGCAGCTCATGGAAGGCCAGATCCTGCCCTGAAGGGGAAAATCTTCATTCAACAAGCAGAATCCACCTGGGCTCAGCTGGCAAGCTCCTCTCCCTGCTGCCACCCGCTGGGTCTGCCTGGCTTCCCGGGTGTAGAATTGGGCTGATTTTGGCTCTGGGGGTGACTGGGTGAGGTGAGGAGTGAAGAGCACACTGCAGAACCCCACGTGCTCTCTGCACTGCTCATATATCCATTCTGGATTTAAAACAAACCCTCTGGCAGGCTAGGGCAGAGAGCAGGGGTGCAAATAACTATTCTAAATAAAAATCTTGTGGCTGAAACCCTGAAGTAGCTAAAAAAAACAAACCCAAAGGACAATCTTACTGCAGTAGCTGCATCTGCCCCAGCCCCACCCTGCTCTAGCAGCATTTTGGTGACCACAAATTGGGATCTGCAGGATGGCTTCGTGAAATCACCACAAAAGGGCTGCAGGAACAGGAAAAATCTCAGCCAAAATTCAGTCTCTTGTTTCAGTTTGAGCTTTGCTGACTTGGGAAGCTGCCCCATCGTAGGTCCCAGTGTGTGAGCACAGAGGTAATATTTTAGTCTTGGCCTTTCAGCATCCTGTTACATCAGGACTGATATCAAACATCCATCCAAGACAAGACAATTCCCAGCTGCTTCGCTTTCATATTTCAATATTTTGGGGCACTAAAAGAAAGGGAAAAAAAAACCCAACCCTGCAGAACTGCACAGGAGCCAGAGAGCCGACGATTCCCAGGGCTGAGCTTCCTGCAGTGGGGGCTTGAGCCCGTTTCTTCCTGGTTTTATATGGTTTTAGAGCAGAGTCAGCACCCAGCCTGGGCTGCTGTGGGGCAGGAGAACCACCAGTGAGTGTCCCTGTGTCCTCACCCCCCCGGTACCGGCACCTTCCCCAGGACCAGGGAGCTGGGGGACATGGGAGAAGTGCCAGGATCCTTCCAAGTGTCGCAGATCTGTTACCTTCAAGCTGCTGTTTTGGTTTTTTTTCCTTGTTTCCTTTCCTCCCCTGACTAAAAGTCATTTTGTCCATTTTAGGAACGGATCAACACTGCCTTTTCTTGTGCTGGAGGACAAATATTCCCAGGGTGGATAAAATCCTGTTGCTAAAAAGAGGGGTGGAATGGGCAGTGGCAGGCAGCAAGCCCCTCCACCCCTTCCCTGCAAAGCCCAGGGCTGGGAAAAGGACACTTTTTATTGGGAAAACTGCCCCTTCTCCAGACTCAGAGGGTGCCTGGGGTCACAGCTGGAGCCGTGGTGCTCGCCCCGGGGGCCGATGGGCTGTGGGAGAGCAGCCGGGGCACGACAGCACCTTTGGATTGGGGATTTTAGGCGGGGGGGTGCCGTGGGGTTGTGTCGAGGGGC